GGGTTATTACTTTCTCATGTTAGTATAAAATTTTACATGTGTTTTATCTTAATTGTTAATATGTTCATAATATTCTTTTTGCATTGCTGGAGTATTTTATTAAGCCCCGACTTATTTAATAGTGATTGACTGCAGCCAAGGGGAAGGAGCTAGTGAGTAGAGTCAGTACAGTTGACCACTCTTTTTGTCTACATACATATTTTGATGTACAGATTAGATCTGAGGATAACTGGCAGATTTTCTGGATATGGTAAATTTTTTTTAAGGTTTTAGTAAAGCTCTGGTATTTCAACTTGGATGTGCATTTTATTTGAAGTATACTATATATGCTTCTTATATTGAAAATTTTGAGTGAATTGATTAGTTATCTTAGTATAGTTTGAATGCACTACTTTTTACTTATTTAATTCTAATATTTAGTGTTTCAGAATAGGTTTGTGATGGGGTCATCAGATTTCGACACGTGTACCATCGCTGACGCCGGAGATCGACGGCCACGATCATGATCTACCTATTTTCATACATTTTATGTGGTAGTTTATTTTTATTATGTTTTTCCGTTTTTTGCCTTATGGGTATTATAGGTCTCCGCTTATTGTACGCCCAAGGGCATTTAGTTTTTTTTGTTTTTTTTTGGTCATTTTAAGGCTATTTATATGCCTTTCTCATGTAAGAGTCTCGTTTTTGATAGAAATGAAAAATATTTGCTTTTGTGCTTTGATTCACTACTTTGAGTCGCTTAACCCTATTGATCGTAACAGTATCGTAGGAGAACTATTATACTCTACTCTGATGTATTCTAGGTTTCTCAGTTATATTATTTCCTTTTTCTCTGGTCAATTCATTCATCGTGGAGATTCGGATTTGAAGCACTGTGAAAATTGAATTCACTCCTTGGACCTATATTTTCATACTTCTCCTCTCGCTGGATCCTTGCCCGCCGCCTTCCTAGCCAAACCGCCGCCAGCTCCCGCCGACTAACCCAGCACCCCATCCGCCGCGGCTTTAGGAGCCTCCCGCCGGCAATCCTCTCATCCGGCCCCGCGCCACCACCAACCTTCTTCGCGACCACCCTGGATCCATACGCCGGCTCCATTTGGTTTTCCCTTTGCTAATTGAATTTCATCCTTTTAATGACTTACAATAATCACTTAATGGGAATTAATTAGGGGAGTTACAAATTTTTGGAAATTCAATTTCCCTCCCAATTATTCTTTCAAGAAAGGAGTTACATGACATAATTAAAATCTGAAATCGTAATTCGGATTTTGATTAATTAATTGTGGTCCCCAACCTATTTATCCAAGCCTCTCTCTCTCCCATATGGCCGTCACTAGAGCTATCAAATTGGACCCGACCCGAAAATCCCCCGAATTGTTTGGTTGACCGAACCCGAAAGCGGCGGGTTCGGGTCTGAAAAATCGACCCGTGCAAATCGGGTCGGGTTCGGGTTGACCGGAAACCGGGAATGAACCGATTTGACCCGATACCCATAACCGGCCTTCGCCCCCCGACGTCGAACTGAGCTGTGCCCCTCGCCCCGCCGTCAGCCCGACACAGCCCCGCTCTAAGCGTCACCCCGCCCTGCGTCAGCGTGCGACCAGCGCGAAACTCGCGCACCCCGTTCGCAACTTCCGCCTAATGCGTTCCACCGATACAAGTGGGGCCGGGTGACCGAACCCGACCGAACACCGAAGCGGTCAGAGTCGGGTCCAGAAAATTGACCCTTTTTGCAATAAGCGTTCGGGTCGACCCGAACCCGAAATTAGATGCCGGTTTGTTTTTCGGGTTGGACCCGGAAACCGACCCTGTGACCCGGACATGACACCCCTACCGGCCAGCCTTCTCCTATTGGTTTCTCTCTCTACTTGCCACTCATATATACTTAAACACCTCTTTAATACCCCCCTCAGGTTATTCAGTTTTCCAGGATTTTTAATTTCAGATTTCCAAAATCTTGAATTGAAATCAATTCCTCTCTTCCCCTTGCTGAAAGAATTAATCTGAAATTAAATTTCAGATTTCTTCTCTCCCCCCTCCCAAATTACTTCAACCTCTCTACTTCCGCCCGCCACCTTCCCCTTCTCCTCTCCTTCTCGTATGCCACCTTACTCCGGGCAATGGTGCATGGCGGATCCCGAAGTGGATAGTGGTTTAGTACTCGATGTCTACGGAAGTATTCATATAACACGCTCGCCATTCTTCGACGTTAAGTTTGGACTTTGGACCCGACGACACCGTCGACGACTATTTGAATCGCATCCTCCCCACGCTCGTGGATGTCGTAGACGAGCAATTTGAAGACTACGATTGGACCATCCGTGGACACCCACCGGCCTCTCCAATTCCGGCCTCCTCCCCGGCGACGAGTCCCCCCTGCATCACCTGTCTACTAGTGGCATCGCTAAGCCTACTTACAATTCTCCTCCGCTAGCCACCACTTTCAAAACGAGTGACGGACCTCCAGGTGAATGATCTAGATTTTAGATTTGGGGCTCTGTTATCATTAGCTATTTGCATTACTTAAATATTTAGTAGTTATTTTGCAAGTTACTGTAATCTCTACATGTGATCTATTGCCGTTGCTAAATCTCTCAACCTCAAATTCTTAACTCAATCTTGAGCAAGCAAAGAGTTAATTATTAGCAAGATGAATTCCATCGCTCTTATTAATTTCTCAAAGGCAATTCTTGTTTCCATGCATTACGTTTCACATCAGTTTGTTAAGAAGAAGGTCTGTTCAGATTTTTCCTTCTCTATCACACTCTAGATTGATTGTAGGTGGTCAAAATAGGGTGTGACATATACAAAGAATATCCTCAACTAAAACCTAATGACAACCTAAAAAATTAAATACAACTATAGTTGCTTTTTTTGAATTCCAACATAAGATAGTAAATCAAAGTAAATACTAAGCACAACTACTTTTATCAATTCAAACAGTGTAGACTGAGTGATCGAAGTACACAAGAAAATTAGATATGACTGAAGAGCAAGAGAGAAATGACTAGAAAAAATTAAAGCGAAGTCTCAAAATGCTCTATTGAAGGAAAAGAAAGCAGCAGGATGGGGAGTAATTGTAGTTCTGAAAATAATCAATGGAGAAAGGAAATGATGATTTTTGTGTTGCTTCATGTTCACATTATATTTTATTATATGTTTTCTTATAACCACTAAGTGAAATGTCATTTATGATGTTATGAATTCTCATTTATCATGCTTAAAATTGCTGGTACAAATCCATGGTCTATATTTCTTTTTTAAGAAAATTATTAGGATGCCAAGTTGTGTATTTTTAAACATGTTGATATAAGATATCTTTTAATTGATTGGTTTTGCTTTTCCTTAGTTTGAGCTCAACTCATTAGTATTCTTTTTTTTTTTCTCACAAAGAAAAACTATGAAGACAGAGACCTCTAGTTTGAGCCCCGAAACTTTAGGTTGTCTCAGGTAGTTTCGGGTTTGACTGTTCCATGTTTTAGCTTTTATTGGCTGAGTTTCATTATCTAAATGATTTTACTTGTGATCAGGTGAGAGCTTGTGATATTTTGATGGATATTGCAGAAGTTAAATTCACATCATACTTGCTGTCAGGCTATATTCATCACTTTCTTTTGTCATGTGTTTGTTTTTGAATGATGAAATCTAATCGGCAATTCCTAATTTCCTATTTTAATTGCAATTATTTATTACTTAGACTAACGCGTACTGACCCCCTCCAAGTTACAATGCTCTTTTAAATATTTGACGAAACTTTCCATATAGTAATGTTTAACTAGACCTGCTACATCATTTCTATTTAATATTGTCACGTATTGTGCCATTTGTTTTGGACTTTTAACATGGACTAAAAATTAACTGGCTATTGGATATAACTCAACAAATATAAACTTGATTTAACTTTGTGTTAACAGTATGTGATGACAGAATGTTGCACCATTGGAGATGATTTTACATAGATCCTGTGCATTGCAGTGGTGAAGCTCATCTCATTACGGATGGCTCAGTTGGTGGAGACAACCGGTAGTGGTGGGCTGCCTGAAATTTCACCAATTTGGATTGTAGAGTTCGCTGTAGATGAACTCTATGACATCCGGGATACATTCTTCCCCAAGGACCAGATGGAGAAGACTGCTCGTTTACAAAAGTATGCTGATGCTGCTCTTGCTCTTGTGGAGAGAGTCATCCCACAAGGTTTGGGCTACATCATCTCCCTTTTTCTCTCTCTCCCCCTTCAGAATAAGCGTTTACATGTTTGTAATTGCCATTTAAAATGGGAATGCTTAATTTGTTTGTGTTTAGCAGCTCAAGTCGTAACCTATCCTCTGTGATCCTACACGCTCATTTGATTTTGTTACTCTTTTTAATGTGTGATTGCCAGAAAAAAAAAAACTTTTATGTGAAAATTTCTTTTGCTGGTGTTTGTTGCTTTGAATAATGGAGTAAAATACATTTGATCAGTATATTAGCTCACCAAAGCATATTTTGTTATATGTCAAGTCTCAGATTTTACTTTCGTGATCCTAGAAAATGATTGCAGCGTAACATCGCTAGTTTTTTGTTTAGTCGAGTGAGAGTGATGCAAACATCGGTACGAAAATTTGGCGCATCTATCACAGGCGGCGTCGTAAATCGACGGCCATTATTTAAATTTTAAATTATGAGTTATTTTCTGCATTTTAGTTCTTAATTAATGTATTTCCTGTTTTACCCCTAGGATAGTTTATGTGAGTGTTATGGTCCAAGGGGCATTTTTGTAAATTTTTATTTTCTCATGTTGTGGTCTATATATAGGGCCTTAAGCTATTGTAATGGGATGAAGGATTGATATGAAAAATTGTTTTCCACACTTGTGTTCTTCTTGTGAGAGAGCGTTAGTGAGATTCCTATGAAAGGAATCGAAGTCTTCACCAGCCGCAGGATGGGTCCGGGCTCGTGAATTAAAGTCCCTTGGAGAAGGGCAAAGAATCACCCGTCAGTCTTTGGAAGAGTCCAAGGCTCGCGGTTTTTATTTTCTATCATTTGTTTCGATCTTTCGTTCTATTCTTGTTTTTGTTTTGTATCTTCTTTAATTGTTTTTCCATCGTCTTTCTCCTCCCCAATCTTCGTTTGGCCACCGGATTCATCTCCACCCGAAATCCCCCATACCCGAACCCCTGCCGCCGGCTCCACCCCCATTAGCCGCCGGCCGAAACTCCTCCTCCCACCCTCTTTGGGATTTCCTAATTTGGTTGGATTAATTTGGGGATTAATTTGAATTTGAAATTATTCAAATTCAAATTTCAAATTCTTTCCTAATTTGGTTCCTCTATTTTAGAAAAGTTCTTAATTTACATCCATTTGAATTTGGTTCCTCTATTGGAGTGAATTATTCCCTTTCCTAATCTTTTTAAACCAAATTAAGAAGTCTTAATTGGCCTCATTAAATCCTATTTCAAATTATTTCTTAAATCAAGTCTAGATTTAGGAAATAATTCAAAATTCCCTTCATAACCGAAATTTCCCTTGCTTTGTTCTACTAATTGACTCCCTAATCTAAGGAGTTTAATAGCAGGAATTAAATCCCTACCCATTAATTCATCTCTAGCCTATGCCTGCCACCTACCCATTAATTAATACTCTAAGTCCTCTCTTTTGGAAACAATTTCAATTCCCGTAACAATTTTGTTCCTCACATCCAAATCCTCAAATCTCCATTTAATTGTTTTCCATTAGTATTATCCTCAACTTAGACAGTTTGATTTATTTCCAAGTCACAGAATTAATGTTTGGCTGAAACCCCCACGTCCCCTCATTTAATTCCTTCCCAACTCATATTTTTCCCATTCTATTTCCTCTCATGCTCTGCCGCCCCCCCTCTGTCCTAATTGCACCAGAAAAGCTTTTCCAGCGCAGAACCTGAGGCTTGGCATTTACCTTCAGCCTTCTCATAGCCATTAAGGCTTGGCTCCTCTCTCAAATTCAGCTACTACATTTAATACACCGCAAAATACAATTTCCAGAATTCAAGGCATCATCCCTGCTGCCTTCCCAGCTGAACACCAGTCAGTGTCCAGCAATAAGAAGCCTAATAGTTGCTGTATTTACCACAGCAAATTGCTGTCCAGCAATTTCTGCTGTACTACTGTCGCTCCAGCACCATTAAAGGACCCCTCCTTCGTCATACAATCCTTTCCAAAGTCAACACAGTTGCTGCCAAGGATTCCAGGAGATTTGGAGCTTGCAACCTCTCTCCTACCAAGAGAAAATCTGAGATTCTTCTCAGGTTTTGGGCAAAGAACTCAATATTTCCTTCAGATTTTGGAGAGGAGTTCCTCTCCCTAGCAAAGCCCTCCTACCCGTTCTACCGAGATAGAGAGAATAGGGAGGAACAGCCAAGCTGCTGTAGTATAATTTCAGGTTGTTCAAAATCTGAGTACAATACTCCTCCTTGCCGTATATGTATCCCTTGAGCTGTGCTAAAAAGAGTGTAACAAACTAAAAGATTGTATCAGTACTATAATGCTGAAAATAGGAAAAAAGGTAGTGGCTAGTGCCTAATTCTGTTATAAAAAGGTAAGTTGTCTAGTACGACCTCCGGTGCAATCATGCTCCGCATCAAACTCATTTTAGTTTCAATCGCCAACTGCTATGGTTAGCAGGACTCCTAGTTCCTTGATTAAGGCACCTTTGTTATTATTTTCTCATGGTCCTTTAATATCAATTTCATTTAGAAGTTCTTTTTAAAGTTTGAACCATCTAAGTATTGCAATTTTTTTCTTATTTTTCTGTTTCATAAAATAAGCATCTTAACTTTTTGTTGAAATTATCCTGAATCCGTTGCCAGCACCTTTTCTTCTATAGCTACCCCATGTGCACATTAGATTTTTATCTACATTAATCTAGAAACTGTGGACGGCAGGCTTCTAACTGCAACAATCCAACAATATTTGGATAACAACTTTCTATGTACGATAATCCAACAATTTGTGGACATTAATATTTCATTTGTTCTATGTAATTAATTTTGGATTTCAAAATTGAAGGTTGATTTTCAAATAATATGGAGTCTCCACCATGCTGGTGGGTCATTCACCAACATTGAAAGCCAACCTTCATGACAAAGGTGACATAAATTTCTGAAAAGATTTTCTTGGAAAGAAGACGGTGGTAGCTACCACGAAGAAGATGATGGCAAAGTTTACAATAAAGCTAGTGGCCAGGAAGTTGGCTACTCCAATGCTAAAAATCAAAATAAGCCACAAAGGCGAATTGTTATAGCACTGTCGTTGTCATTTCTGCCACTAGACTACAATTCAAAGACAATTAACTATTCTCCCAATAAAAACTTATTTGGGAACATTTGGTTATTCAAAATGGTTATTCTTGCATGCAATCTTTGCAAACATGGAGAAAACTACTAATTGGATGGTGGACTCGGGATGGAGCTCAGATCATATGATGGTAGAAAAAAAGCCTCTAATAATTCTAGCCTATGCTATGAAAATTTTAATGCTCAGATTATAGATGGGTCACTATCAAATGTGGTCGGAATATGTTTTATCATTCTCTCAAAAGATTTGATACTTTGACTATGCGCTTTTAGTACCTAGCATAGATTGCAACTTATTATCAATCAATAAACTCACTCTAGACAAAATTGATGTGACTAATTTCTCATACAATCTTTATAAGTTTCAGGACTTGGAGTCAAGGTATCCATGATTGATAATGCAGAGGTTTATTTAGGATTCAACTTTTTAAGAATTATTCCTCAAATAAGGTATGAGCTCAAACAATAGGTTAATTATCCGCCAAAACCTCAAGTTCAATTTCCAAATGCACCTCAGAGAATGATAATGATAATGATATTTGATTTTGGCACTTTGGCCTAGGACACTGTAACTCTAAAAAAATAATTATTTTCTTATTTATCAACAAAAATTTTAAGAATTTTTAGTGTGAAGTTCATCATCTTGCTAAACACACTCGTAATTCTTATCCCATTTAAATCTACAAATGATCTCAATCTTTCATGTAAGTCCACAATGATGTGTGGGGATCATCATGTAATGCCCATTCGAATTTGGAAGAATTATTTATTTATCATTTTAAGAATATCGGAGCTTCTATAAATCATCAATAAATTTATATACAATGAAAGCAACTAGTATCATTTATATCAAAATATTTTTAATATTCATTCACCAAAATGTCATTTATACCAACCAGAAGTTCACTACAATTACTAATCTATCACAAACTCATGTATACAAAATAATAAATGAAAATGCATAACAAAATCTAAAGAAGAACCTGGTGATCGTTATTAGTATCTGATGTAAGCAAACTAGAAAGAAAAGGTAAATTGGGGAATACAAGGACAATAAGACCAAACTCGATTCACTTTAACTTGCAAACATGCAAACAAACATCTGAATAAACGAGAAGTCAAATCAAACAAAATAAAATTATAGCATAAAAATGCTATCCTCAGAACAACCGTCAAGCGGTTTCCTCACATGCAACGAGAGTAGGAAAATATATGAAAATAGTGCTTAGGCTTACAAACCGAGGTTCCATCACTGCAAAAGGGTCCAACGTCCTACCAAATTCCTCCGGCAAATGTCTCCAAAATCAGCCAACAAACAACTTCCAAATGCTCTAGAAGAAGGATACATGTGGAGTAGAACTTGCGTAGAGAAGAAGGGATTAGAAGTCAAGAGAGGAAAGGGGGTGGAATAAGCTTTCAAGCTTTTCCAAGAGAAGAAACCCTCAGGTTTTTAGTAGAGACTTTGCTCAAATTTTCAACAACCTCCATTCCAAAACATCTCCAATTTATAAGCAAAAGAAAGAAGCCAAACAACCATACCACCTCCAACCAAATGTCACGACTCGGCCCGATGAGCTCGCGTAGGCGAGGCGGGAACGGTTGGTTGGACGATAGGTCAAATATCTAATTCCTAAAACTATCACTTTAACATTTGAAAGAGCCTCGAAAACATCAAATTTGAAATCACATAAACATAAAATCAGTAATAATCATAAAATTACCTTTCCTCAGACGCTCCTCTTTTACGATATACATGGCCATCCCTTCTACTTATTTTTTTTTTAATTTAAAGTAACTATATCTGAAAGATGTTAACAACTAACATTAAGCCGAAGCTCAATAAGTAAAATACAATTCTAAAGTACAGTAATCAAGGCAAACA